AATGTGCGTGTATGGATGAGTGATGTGTGTGGATGAGTGATGTATGTGTATGAGTGATTGTGTATGGATGAGTGATGTGTGTATGGATGAGTGATGTACATGTATGGATGAGTAATGTATGTGTTTGGATGAGTAATGTATGTGTATGGATGAGTGATGTACGTGTATGGAGGAGTGACTGTATGGATAAGTGATGTGTGCAAGGATGACTGATGTATGTGTATGGATGTGTATGTATGGATAAGTGATGTGTGTGTATGGATGAGTGATGTATGTGTATGGATGAGTGATGTATGCGTAGGATGAGCGAATGTGTGTGGACGAGTGATTTTGTATGGATGAGTGATGCATGTGTATGGATGAGTGATGTATGTGTAGGATGAGTGTGTGGATGAGGGATTTTTGTATGGATGAGTGATATATGTGTATGGATGAGTGATGTGTGTATGGATGGGTGTGTGTGTATGGATGAGTGATTGTGGATGAGTGATGTGTGTATGATGTGTATGGATGGGTGATGTATGGATGAGATGTATGTTTATGAGTAAATGGTATGTGTTGGATGAGTGATGTGTGTATGGATGAGTGACTGTGTATGGATAAGTGATGTGTGCATGGATGAGTGATGTATGTGTATGGATGTGTGTGTATGGATAAGTGATGTGTGTGTATGGATGAGTGTTTGTATGTGTATGGATGCGTGATGTGTGTGTATGGATGAGTGATGTGTGTATGGATGAGTGATGTGTGTATCAATGAGTGATGTGTGTATGGATGGGTGATGTGTGTATGGATGAGTGATTGTGGATGAGTGATGTGTGTATGATGTGTATGGATGGGTGATGCGTGTATGGATGAGATGTATGTTTATGAGTAATGTATGTGTATGGATGAGTGATGTATGTATGGATGAGTGATGTGTGTATCAATGAGTGATGTGTGTATGGATGGGTGATGTGTGTATGGATGAGTGATTGTGGATGAGTGATGTGTGTATGATGTGTATGGATGGGGTGATGTGTGTATGGATAAAGTATGTATGTTTATGAGTAATGTATGTGTATGGATGAGTAATGTATGTGTATGGATGAGTAATGTATGTGTATGGATGAGTAATGTATGTGTACATGGATGAGTGATGCGAGTGTATGGATGATTAATGCATGAATGGATGAGTGCTGTATGTGTCTGTATGTGTGAGGTAGTCACTAACCTGGGCAGGGTGGCAGTAGAGAGGGAGTGTGGTGATGGTGGTTAGTGACGTATGGTGGTCACTAACCTGGGCATGGTGGCAGTAGAGAGGGAGTGTGGTGATGGTGGTTAGTGACGTATGGTGGTCACTAACCTGGGCAGGGGGTGGCAGTAGAGAGGGAGTGTGGTGATGGTGGTTAGTGACGTATGGTGGTCACTAACCTGGGCATGGTGGCAGTAGAGAGGGAGTGTGGTGATGGTGGTTAGTGACGTATGGTGGTCACTAACCTGGGCATGGTGGCAGTAGAGAGGGAGTGTGGTGATGGTGGTTAGTGACGTATGGTGGTCACTAACCTGGGCAGGGTGGCAGTAGAGAGGGAGAGTGGTGATGTTGGTTAGTGACGTATGGTGGTCACAAACCTGGGCAGGGTGGCAGTAGAGAGGGAGGAGAGTGGTGATGGTGGTTAGTGACGTTGGTGGTCACAAAACCGGGGCCCAATGTGGCCCAGTAGAGAGGGAGTTGGTGATGGTGGTTAGGGGACGTATGGTGGTCACTAACCTGGCATGGTGGCAGTGAGAGGGAGGTGGTGATGGTGGTTAGTGAGGGTATGGTGGTCACTAACCTGGCAGGGTGGCGGGGTAGAGAGGGAGAGTGGTGATGTTGGTTAGGGGACGTATGGTGGTAAACTAACCTGGGCAGGGTGGCAGTAGAGAGGAGAGTGGTGTGGTGGTTTAGTGACGTATGGTGGTCATAACCGGGCAGGGTGGCAGTAGAGGGGAGAGTGGTGATGGTGGTTAGTGACGTATGGTGGTCACTAACTGGGCATGGTGGCAGTAGAGAGGGAGAGTGGTGATGGGGGTTTTAGTGACGTATGGTGGTCACTAACCTGGGCATGGTGGCAGTAGAGAGGGAGAGGGGTTGATGGGGGTTTAGTGTGATGGTGATGTTTTGGTGGTCACTAACCTGGGCATGGTGGCAGATAGAGAGGGAGAGTTGGTGATGGTGGTTAGTGACGTATGGTGGTCACTAACCTGGGCAGGGTGGCAGTAGAGAGGGAGTGGTGATGGTGGTTGTGATTGATGGTGATGTATGGTGTCACTAACCTGGGCATGGGTGGCAGTAGATGAGGGAGAGTGGTGAGGTTGTGATGGTGATGTATGGTGGTCACTAACCTGGGTTAGAGTGGCAGTAGAGAGGGAGAGTGGTGAGGTTGTGAGTGGTGATGGTATGGTGGTCACTAACCTGGGTATGGTGGCAGTAGGAGAGGGAGAGTGGTGGGGGTTGTGATGGTGATGTATGGTGGTCACTAACCTGGGCAGAGTGGACAGTAGAGAGGGAGTGGTGGTGAGGTGTGATGGTGATGTATGTGGTCACTAACCTGGGCAGGGTGGAGTAGAGAGGGAGTGTGGTGAGGTGGTATGTTGGATGTATGGTGGTCACTAACCTGGGCAGGGTGGCAGTTGAGAGAGGGGGTGTGGTGAGGTTGTGATGGTGATGTATGGTGGTCACTAACCTGGGTAGGGTGGCAGTAGAGAGGGAGAGTGGTGGGGTTTCGTGATGGTGATGTATGGTGGTCACTAACCTGGGCGGGGTTTGGCAGTAGAGAGGGAGTGTGGTGAGGTCGTGATGGTGATGTATGGTGGTCACTAACCTGGGCAGAGTGGCAGTAGAGAGGGAGAGTGGTGAGGTTGTGATGGTGATGTATGGTGGTCACTAACCTGGGCAGGGTAGAAGTAGAGAGGGAGAGTGGTGAGGTTGTGATGGTGATGTATGGTGGTCACTAACCTGGGCAGGGTGGCAGTAGAGAGGGAGGTGTGGTGAGGTTCGTGATGATGTATGGTGGTCACTAACCTGGGCAGGGTGGCAGTAGAGAGGGAGAGTGGTGAGGTCGTGATGGTGATGTATGGTGGTCACTAACCTGGGCAGAGTGGCAGTAGAGAGGGAGTGTGGTGAGGTCGTGATGATGTATGGTGGTCACTAACCTGGGCAGGGTGGCAGTAGAGAGGGAGAGTGGTGAGGTCGTGATGGTGATGTATGGTGGTCACTAACCTGGGCAGAGTGGCAGTAGAGAGGGAGAGTGGTGAGGTCGTGATGGTGATGTATGGTGGTCACTAACCTGGGCAGTGTGGCAGTAGAGAGGGAGAGTGGTGATGGTGGTTAGTGATGATGGTGATGTATGGTGGTCACTAACCTGGGCAGGGTGGCAGTAGAGAGGAGAGTGGTGAGGTTTTTGATGGTGATGTATGGTGGTCACTAACCTGGGCAGAGTGGCAGTAGAGAGGGAGAGTGGTGAGGTTGTGATGGTGATGTATGGTGGTCACTAACCTGGGCAGGGTGGCAGTAGAGAGGGAGAGTGGTGATGGTGGTTAGTGATGATGGTGATGTATGGTGGTCACTAACCTGGGCAGGGTGGCAGTAGAGAGGGAGAGTGGTGAGGTTGTGATGGTGATGTATGGTGGTCACTAACCTGGGCAGAGTGGCAGTAGAGAGGGAGAGTGGTGAGGTTGTGATGGTGATGTATGGTGGTCACTAACCTGGGCAGGGTGGCAGTAGAGAGGGAGTGTGGTGAGGTTGTGATGATGTATGGTGGTCACTAACCTGGGCAAGGGTGCAGTAGAGAGGGAGTGTGGTGAGGTTGTGATGGTGATGTATGGTGGTCACTAACCTGGGCAGGGTGGCAGTAGAGAGGGAGTGTGGTGAGGTTGTGATGGTGATGTATGGTGGTCACTAACCTGGGCAGGGTGGCAGTAGAGAGGAGTGTGGTGAGGTTTGTGATGGTGATGTATGGTGGTCACTAACCTGGGGAGGTTGGCAGTAGAGAGGGAGAGTGGTGAGGTTGTGATGGTGATGTATGGTGGTCACTAACCTGGGCAGGGTGGTAGTAGAGAGGAGTGTGGTGAGGTTGTGATGGTGATGTATGCTGGTCACTAACCTGGGCAGGGTGGCAGTAGAGAGGGAGAGTGGTGAGGTTGTGATGGTGATGTATGGTGGTCACTACCTGGCAGGGTGGCAGTAGAGAGGGAGTGTGGTGAGGTTGTGATGGTGATGTATGGTGGTCACTAACCTGGGCAGGGTGGCAGTAGAGAGGGAGTGTGGTGATGGTGGTTAGTGATGATGGTGATGTATGGTGGTCACTAACCTGGGCAGGGTGGCAGTAGAGAGGGAGAGTGGTGAGGTTGTGATGGTGATGTATGGTGGTCACTAACCTGGGCAGGGTGGTAGTAGAGAGGGAGTGTGGTGAGGTTGTGATGGTGATGTATGGTGGTCACTAACCTGGCAGATTTGGCAGTAGAGAGGGAGAGTGGTGAGGTTGTGATGGTGATGTATGTGGTCACTAACCTGGGCAGGGTGGCAGTAGAGAGGGAGTGTGGTGAGGTGGTGATGGTGATGTATGGTGGTCACTAACCTGGGCAGGGTGGCAGTAGAGAGGGAGAGTGGTGAGGTTGTGATGGTGATGTATGGTGGTCACTAACCTGGGCAGGGTGGCAGTAGAGAGGGAGAGTGGTGAGGTTGTGATGGTGATGTATGGTGGTCACTAACCTGGGCAGGGTGGCAGTAGAGAGGGAGTGTGGTGAGGTTGTGATGGTGATGTATGGTGGTCACTAACCTGGGCAGGGTGGCAGTAGAGAGGGAGAGTGGTGAGGTTGTGATGGTGATGTATGGTGGTCACTAACCTGGGCAGGGTGGTAGTAGAGAGGGAGAGTGGTGAGGTTGTGATGGTGATGTATGGTGGTCACTAACCTGGGCAGAGTGGCAGTAGAGAGGGAGTGTGGTGAGGTTGTGATGGTGATGTATGGTGGTCACTAACCTGGGCAGGGTGGCAGTAGAGAGGGAGAGTGGTGAGGTGGGGTATGTTCCGCTGAACGGTGAGGAAGAAGTAAGCGGGTACATGCGGGCAGTGGGCCTGCAAATAAAACACACACACTACATCAACAAACACACTACTACAACAAGAACAACCAAAAACAACGACAGCTCAAAAAGGGGGAGGGAGGATGAGGGAGTGGGGAGTGTGTGGTTCTCAGGGAAAGGATTACCAGGACCATCTATTTCTACTACTCACTTATTTGAAGTGTTCCTGAGGATGCTTGTAAGTGTTAAGTGCTCTGAAAATGTTATTAAAGTGTTCTCATTCTGGACTCTGAATTTGTAAGTGTCACCAAAGTGATTATTCCGTGTTTTTTTTTTTTGTTATATTTTTACTGCATAACCCATGATTCACCTTGTTACTATCAACACACCAAGAGGTGAGTCTAGGAGCCATGATTCAACCCCCTGCAAACACAATTAGGCGAGTACACCAGTACTACAATAGTCAAGACAATAAATAATAATAAAAACATAAATAAAATTAATGATAATTATAACTAGTAATGTCATTTCAATAATAATTGTGATAATACAAAGCAGGTAGGACAGGTACAGTGTTTCACATACTAAAAATATAAAAGACTATAGGATAAACAACGTGAACAAGGTATCAGGCAGGTCTGGTCCTGGACCGCGGGGGCGCTCACCTACCAGGATCTACAAGTCAGTGTAGGTGTGGGAGAGTTGCTGTAGGCGTGGGAGTTACAGTGGGTGGGTGTGTCTGTGGGTGTGGGAGAGCTGCTGTAGGTGTGGGAGAGTTGCTGTAGGCGTGGGAGAGTTGCTGTGGGTGTGGGAATTACTGTGGGTGTGGGAGAGTTCGGTCTATGTGGGCGTGAAAGGGTTAGATGTGTGGGCGTAGTGGGTTAGGTCTGTGTGGGCGTGGTGGGTTAGGTCTGCGTGGGAGTTAATTCTGTGTGGGCGTGGAAGAATTAATTGTGTGGGTGTGGGAGTATTAGAAATTTTATTATGAACGTTGTAGGGCTTACTAGACTTTGAGGTGGGCGTCTGAGTGGTGTGAGAGAGGAGGGGTGAGATGAGTGGGGGAAGGAAGAGGCTGTGGAGTGGTGGGCGGAAGGGGTGGAGTAGTGGAAGATATTATGTGGAGGGAAAGAGAGTATGAGGAGTAGGGGAGAGGGAGAATAGGATGAGGGATACCTGAAGGATACCTAAAGGGCGTTTCCGGGGGTTGAACACCCCAGCTGCCAGACCCAGACCAGACGTCGTGGTAAAACAAGGCCTCATCAACCAGGCTATTTTGGTCGCACACAATCCAACGTTCGAACCACAGCCCGGCTGGTCAGGACCTGATTTGAGGAACTTATCCAGTTCCCTCTTTAAGACAGCCAGAATTTTGTTGGTAATTTCCCTTATGCACGGAGGGAGGGCGCTGAAGAGTCGAGAACCTCTAACACTCGTCGAGTTCTCTCTTCAATGTACTCGTCCCTCCCCTGCCGTTTAGTGGAGGTATAATACACAGTCTGTTAAATCTGTTGTCATGCAGAGTGATTTCAAGGTTAATGTTTGAGACCAGTCCTTCCAGGACTTTCCAAGTATAAATTATGATGTACCTTTCTTGCCTGTGTTCCAAGGAAGGCAGATGAAGGGACTGCAAGCGTTCCCAGTTGTTCAGATACTTGACTGAGTGTATACGAGCCTTAAGAGTTTTCCAGATGAGGAAACTTCCCTGCCTTAAAGTCTGTCAGTATACAACAATATGCCAACACTGAGAACATGAAGACTATCATCACTGGCTCAGCATCTCTCGTCTAGAACGTAATAATTATCCAGCTTATCATTCTCCTTGCAGTAGCAATGACAACATTGTTCTGATCCTTGAATGAGAGATCTTCCCACATCATTACTCTTAAGTCTCACACATAAAACTTTCCCTCCAGTGAATTATTTGACTTGGTCCAGTACTCTGTTACTGTCTGTTTCCTCCAGTCTTCCAAGGCGGAGCAAATGAAATTTATCTTTGCAAACATCATATTGTTTTCTACCGTCCACTAGGCCTCAGAGTATGTGGAGTGAGGAAGGGTTGAGTATGTGGAGTGAGGGACGATGAGAGTATGTGGAGTGAGGGACGAGGAGAGTATGTGGAGTGAGGGACGAGGAGAGTATGTGGAGTGAGGAAGGGGAGAGTATGTGGAGTGAGGAAGGGGAGAGTATGTGGAGTGAGGGACGAGGAGAGTATGTGGAGTGAGGGACGAGGAGAGTATGTGGAGTGAGGAAGGGGAGAGTATGTGGAGTGAGGGACGAGGAGAGTATGTGGAGTGAGGGACGAGGAGAGTATATGGACTGAGGGACGAGGAGAGTATGTGGAGTGAGGAAGGGGAGAGTATGTGGAGTGAGGGACGAGGTGGAGTGAGGAAGGGGAGAGTATGTGGAGTGAGGGACGAGGAGAGTATGTGGAGTGAGGGACGAGGAGAGTATGTGGAGTGAGGGACGAGGAGAGTATGTGGAGTGAGGGACGAGGAGAGTATGTGGAGTGAGGGACGAGGAGAGTATGTGGAGTGAGGGACGAGGAGAGTATGTGGAGTGAGGAAGGGGAGAGTATGTGGAGTGAGGAACGAGGAGAGCATGTGGAGTGAGGAAGGGGAGAGTATGTGGAGTGAGGAAGGGGAGAGTATGTGGAGTGAGGGACGAGGAGAGTATGTGGAGTGAGGAAGGGGAGAGTATGTGGAGTGAGGGACGAGGAGAGTATGTGGAGTGAGGGACGAGGAGAGTATATGGAGTGAGGAAGGGGAGGTATGTGGAGTGAGGGACGAGGAGAGTATGTGGAGTGAGGGACGAGGAGAGTATGTGGAGTGAGGGACGAGGAGAGTATGTGGAGTGAGGGACGAGGAGAGTATGTGGAGTGAGGAAGGGGAGAGTATGTGGAGTGAGGAACGAGGAGAGCATGTGGAGTGAGGAAGGGGAGAGTATGTGGAGTGAGGAAGGGGAGAGTATGTGGAGTGAGGAAGGGGAGAGTATGTGGAGTGAGGGACGAGGAGAGTATGTGGAGTGAGGGACGAGGAGAGTATGTGGAGTGAGGAAGGGGAGAGTATGGGGGAGTGAGGGACGAGGAGAGTATGTGGAGTGAGGAAGGGGAGAGTATGTGGAGTGAGGAAGGGGAGAGTATGTGGAGTGAGGAAGGGGAGAGTATGTGGATGTGAGGGACGAGAAGAGTATGTGGAGTGAGGGACGAGGAGAGTATGTGGAGTGAGGGACGAGGAGGAGTATGTGGAGTGAGGGACGAGAAGAGTATGTGGAGTGAGGGACGAGGAGAGTATGTGGAGTGAGGGACGAGGAAGAGTATGTGGAGTGAGGGACGGGGAGAGTATGTGGAGTGAGGGACGAGGAGAGTATGTGGAGTGAGGAAGGGGAGAGTATGTAGAGTGAGGAAGGGGAGAGTATGTGGAGTGAGGAAGGGGAGAATATGTGGAGTGAGGGACGAGGAGAGTATGTGGAGGGAAGAGAGGAGAGTATGTGGAGTGAGAAAGGGGAAAGTATGTGGAGCGGGGGAAGAGGAGAGTATGTGGACTGAGGGACGAGGAGAGTATGTGGAGTGAGGGACGGGGAGAGTATGTGGAGTGAGGAACGAGGAGAGTATGTGAAGGGAAGAGGAGAGTATGTGGAGTGAGAAAGGGGAAAGTATGCGGAGCGGGGAAGAGGAGAGTATGTGGAGTGAGGGACGGGGAGAGTATGTGGAGTGAGGAAGGGGAGAGTATGTGGAGTGAGGGACGAGGAGAGTATGTGGAGTGAGGAAGGGGAGAGTATGTAGAGTGAGGAAGGGGAGAGTATGTGGAGTGAGGAAGGGGAGAGTATGTGGAGTGAGGGACGAGGAGAGTATGTGGAGTGAGGACGAGGAGAGTATGTGGAGTGAAGGACGAGGAGAGTATGTGGAGTGAGGGAAGAGGAGAGTATGTGGAGTGAGGGACGAGGAGAGTATGTGGAGTGAGGAAGGGGGAGTATGTGGAGTGAGGGACTAGGAGAGTATGTGGAGTGAGGAAGGGGAGAGTATGTGGAGTGAGGAGGAAGGGGAGAGTATGTGGAGTGAGGAGGAAGGGGAGAGTATGTGGAGTGAAGAAGGGGAGAGTATGTGGAGTGAGGGACGAGGAAAATATGTGGAGTGAGGAAGGGGAGAGTATTGGAGTGAGGAGGAAGGGGAGAGTATGTGGAGTGGGGAAAGGGAAGAGTATGTGAGTGAGGAAGGGGAGAGTATGAGGAGTGAGGGACGAGGAGAGTATGTGGAGTGAGAAAAGGGAAAAGTATGTGGAATGAGGAAGGGGAGAGTATGTGGAGTGAGGGACGAGGAGAGTATGTGGGAGTGAGGGACGAGGAGATTATGTGGAGTGAGGAAGGGGAGAGTATTTGGAGTGAGGAAGGGGAGAGTATGTGGAGTGAGGGACGAGGAGAATATGTGGAGTGAGGAAGGGGAGACTATGTAGAGTGAGGAAGGGGAGGTATGTGGAGTGAGGACGGGGAGAGTATGTGGAGTGAGGAAGGGGAGAGTATGTGGAGTGAGGAAGGGAAGATTATGTGGAGTGAGGGACGAGGAGAGTATGGGGAGAGTGAGGGACGAGGGAGTATGTGGAGTGAGGAAGGGGAGAGTATGTGGAGTGAGGAAGGGGAGATTATGTGGAGTGAGGAAGGGGAGAGTATGTGGAGAGAGGGAAGACGAGAGTATGTGGAGTGAGAAAGGGGAGAGTATGTGGAGTGAGGGAAGAGGAGAGTATGTTGAGTGAGAAAGGGGAAGGAGAGTATGTGGTGTGAGAATGGGGAGAATATGTGGAGTGAGGGAAGAGGAGAGCATGTGGAGTGAGGGGAGGGGAGAGTATGTGGAATGGAGGAAGGAGAAAGTATGTGGAGCGGAGGAAGAAGTATGTGGAGTGAGGGAAGGACAGAGTATGTGGAGTGGGGGCAGGGAAGAGTGCTTGGTGTGGGACCTAGGGAGAGTATGTGTAGGGGCAGGGGAGAGTATGTGTAGGGGCAGGGGAGAGTATGTGGTGTTAATGCAGGGGAGAGCATGTGTAGGGACAGGGGAGAGTATGA